CCAAACACATTTTAAACAGACAGTCTGACTAGGAGACAGCAGCAGAGGCGCCAGCGGTGTCGACTGCGAGCCATGCCCTGTAAAGTCTCGAGTCAAGCACAAGGCATGTCATGTGGATTTCAGCCCTGAAGGCGAGACGGACCAACGGCACCCAGTTTGGTCGTCAGTGACTTCATTTTCCGCTGCGAAGTCAACTTCTGTCCACCACGAGCATTGCTCCACTCTACACCGGTAGATTAAACAAGGACCTCCTAGCTAAGCGTTGACCAGGCATACGTAGCACGTGCCCACGTCAGTGCAACTTATTAAGTGCCATGCTTATCACTACCTAACACCCGCCAACGCACCTCATCGTTGCAGACACGCTGGTGACATCTGACACCATCAATGCTTCGCAGACGACGATGATCAAAGACTTGAAGGCGCCTCAGCTCTTCAGACCGAAGGGGCCAAGTTTCATTACCATAGAGCAGGACGGCCCCTACTGTGGCCTTATATACACGACGTTTCAGACGGAGAGAAACTCCCTTCTGTCACCATAGATGCCGCAGGTTCAAGAAGGCAGTTCTGGCTTTTACAATGCGTGAACTGACTTCGGTTTCTATGTGCCCACCTGTTATGGGGACCCAACGTCCCTATAATTATTACAGGCTTAAATTACGGAAGGCTGAAAACCCGATTCACACAAGTGCACATGTACTCGGATGAGACAAAACGCACACGTTCAATCCGCCTTCCAACTCGTGAAACATTCACATTGTTAAGCCTTTGCACCCAGAAACAGTCTTGTTTCCAACCAAACACGCATTGTTGTATCCAAGCAACATTTATTTTCCGGACAACTCTCGCCAAACTTCCAACATTTATGCTCAGTTTACGGACTGCATATTTACGTAAAACCGTGTTTCTTGTCTCAAGGGTTTGCTTACGTAAACCCTTCCAAGGGAAACCCCCCTTCATCACCGTTTCGTGATATAAAAATGAGGCAGTACAACGCTAGAATCGCCTTAGCTTTGGCCAGTAAAAGCGCCTGTGGAAAAAGGTCTGTCTTGTTCTTGATTCAGTCTTGGGTTGGGAAACCTTGTGTAGAAACTTTGCGTTCGGTCTAGGAACCCGTTCGACTCGTGTGAATTAATCTTTCGCGGCTAAGTTCCGAGAACCCACAGACTTCGAGATTTGTCAGTTACTGTGCCGTGCGAGAAAATAATTCTTTGTCTCGTTCGTTCATCCGACTAGGAGAGTTGGTATCACATTGTTAGAACCTGACGTATTCAAGAGGCAGTATTCAACACCACCTTTGCTGATTCAGCTGCCAAGGTAAGTGAATCGATCAACCTCCTCATTGTCAAGAGTCAAGTTATCATCAAGTGGCTGGTGGTCCTACAGCAACACTGCACTTTGAAGGTGCGAAGCGCATACCAAATAATGCGACCACTCTAGACAGGCCATTTAGGGTTGATTGTGCCGCCGCAACATCGTCGAAAATCAAGACGATATCGTCCGCATAATCTAGATCAACTAGCCTTTCACCAGGCAGGACCTCAACGCCTACCTCATGAGATTCCTTAAGGGAACACTCCATGATAGTGTCCGCGACGAGATTGAACAAACATGGGGAAGTCAGACAAACCTGATAGACGCCACTTGTAGTCGGAAAGCTATCCGACAGGTCATCATAGACCCTGACGCGGCCTGTAGTGTTCGAGTATAGAGCACGAAGCCTGTTCACATATTTCGTGGGAACACATTTCCGAACAAGTATTTCGAACAGAATCGATCGATCGACTGAATCGAACGCACTCTTTAAGCGAGGAACACAGCTATTGTCGGTCTGCGGTATGCGTGGCGCTGCTCTAGCACCTACCGCGGAGTGAATATGTGGTCTATACAGCTACGTCCAGAGCGGAAATCTGCCTGCTCTCCCCTAATCCGCGATTCCCGTTCCACAATGAGGTGACGAACGAGAATCGAGGCCAGTAATCTTGTCCCAAGTGGTGTTAGGCTAATACCCCTGTGGTTAGAACAGTCTGTGCGGCTGCCCTTCTTATATATTGCCACTATAATCGATTCTCTCCAGTTAGCCGGGACACTTCCTTCCAGATATGTTCAAACAGGGAGGTCCGTGCTTTGCAGAGGACCTCACCTCCATCCTTAAATAGTGCAGGTGAGAGGGAACCCGGGCCAACGACACGAAAACGATTGAGGATTGTAATTGCGTTTCGGTCCTTGGACTCTGATGGATCCTCTAAAGTAACCGTCCATGACTCGTCCTGCATCATCTGATTAGGAAGAGATCCGGGAGTACGGGGCCAGCTGAACTGATCTTGAAAGTGATCCGCCCACCGAGCCATACGGCGCTCCTTATTGTGTATCAGTGCACCCGCGCTGTCTCTGTTTGTCTTACTGACGCCTGGTTTCCTGGGATCAGCTGTAAGAGCTTGCGGTAATTGCTTATTGCTGCTACCTCCTCCATTTCTTGAGCCCTACTGGTCCACCAGGCTCCCTTGTCAGCACGTAGGCTTCGCTTTAGTTCGCGCCTAATAGACATCTGATCACATTGTGCTCAGAGCCAGCCGGGATGTTTCTTCTGCATTCCAACAGGTTCACGGACCTCTCGGATATCCAGTGACCAGGGCGGTGACGATTGATAGTACCACAAGCAGATGCTGCTGCGTCGTGCATGGCGGCCGAGATCCTATTCCACTGAAGCTAGGGATCATTAGGACAAGACAGCAAAAGTTCGGTACATAGTGCGTCTTAATAGGCTTATCTGACCGAAGGCTGAGACAGTTTCTCAGTTGCCAATCGGAGGAAACACTTGGTGCGCCTCCCGGTAAAGTTCATGAAGAAACGACAGCGTACCAAATCATGATCGGAGTCGACGCATATATTCCAGTACGAGCGGCAGTCCAGAATGGAACCACGCCACCTGTAACTTATGGCAATGTGGTCAGTTTGGGTCCATCGCTGGCCAGCTACGGGAGGACGCCAAGTAGCACTTCAGCGCCCACTGCGTCTAAAAGCAGTGCTAGTAAGAAACAACAGGTGCTCCGCACACAGTTGTAGCAGACGCTCACCGTTGTCAGTCAATTACCACAATTACCACCCAACTGAGCTTCTGAAGAGCTCAGAGGCCCTACTTGTGCGCTCATATCCCCTGCAAGTACTGTATTATCTGAACTAGTAGCACTGTGTAGTAAGGCGTTCAGTTCGTGATAAAATGTGTCCTTGACAGCATTAGAACTGCAGTCGATGTGAGCATAAGCGGAAATCACAAACAAGCAGTGTTTTGTATTACTTCGTGAATCCACCTTAGCTGATGTCGTCAGACAGGCTGCACATAAACGGGTGTTCACCAGAAACCAATCAACCAACCAACGATGGCTCAGTCTTGGAGCGTATAATGATACCTACACTAGTTTGACCCGTGAGTGCTGCATCGGCGTCTCCGGATGCGTGCAACCAATAACGAGAGGCTAAGCCGGTTGCAGTTAATTCAATAACCCCGTTAGGGTCATTAATCCTAGTTTCAGACACACAACACGCATCAATACGCAGTGTGTCCAAGGTGCGTGGGAGTGCAGCCTGTTGACCTATTTGACTTAGAGTACGAGCGTTGAACGTCGCCAAGGAAACGGGACAGCTTGGCCTTCTAAGGGACGGTTGCCAATGGGCTTCCGGTGAATACCGCGTGATGGTGGCTGCAGACGGTTCTAATCCAGTGGCACTTCGGTTGCTGTTAATTAAGCTGGGAATTATAGAAGGAAGGTTAGCAATGGGGGTCGGGATGGGAGTTAGAGAAAAAGGTGGAAAAGAAAGAAAGGAGGCTCCAGCAGTAGCATGTTTTCGCTTATCCGCCCTGCTGTATACAGCAGATAAGGCGACCCTTGATAATCTGCGCGATGGCCGATGCAGGATGAAGTTAATGTTTGAAGAAAATGTCATGGTTGTATGTGGGCTGAGAAACTGCCAGGGCACCCAGACCTAGATATGAGGACGATTAGAGTTCTCATCCATATCCTTTGGCTCAAAATCCTGTCTGCAAGGCAGCGGGGAGGTGGCAATGATTTATTTTTACAGCAATAGACGCCATCCCATTTCAAACCTCCAACCTTTAGGCCCAGGAGACTGAATTTGTCTGACCTCTCCCATTGACCAACCTCGTAGAAGTAGCTCTCAAGGTGCCCGGAGGCATCACCCTGTATAGATCAATGGGTCAATGAGGTACGCAAACCGTCGCACCACGTTAAGGTCCGCTCTCGTTGCGATAGTGCAGTCTGTTGGTGAGAATTAATTACTATTGTATTTGTTTCTATCCCTGAGAAGCAATTGCTTCATTCTCGGTTTTCTTTCCTTGTTCTACCTTACATTTTCTTCAAAACTTGACTACTCGTACTCCATTGCGTCATTTTTATTAATTTCACTTTGTCCCATCCAGTGGGTTGCGGAAATTTGCTATCACTGCTTTACCTTCTTTGGTTTTTGCTGGTTTACTGGTTCCATTCACATTGCTTCTGATACTGTCTCGGCACTGCTTTTTGCCTGCTTACCAGAAAAATGACCTTAACTCACTTTTCGGGGTAACTCTTGTTCTCTTTCACTAAACACTGTATTTTTCTGATTTATGTTGTTAAAATATTGTGCAGTCCATCGTGCTTTGGTCACATACATGTCCCAACTGTATTCCATGATTTTCCTACAACCCGTGAACACTATAAATGCTCCGGAACGGGTCATATGTGGTTGGACACTTTGTCTAACGTGGCGCATTAGCGGAGTCAGTGTCATTCCCGTATTCGATTCCTCGCGTTTTGTTGTTAATTTCCCATCCTACCTTCTTTTTCCTTGTTTTCTGAGCTTCCAGCCACCTTTTCGCTTGTGTTATTTGCTGTTATCCCGATGATGCCAGTCTTGGCTGTTAGATATAACGCACTTCTGAACTGAGTTGAACTGAAATAAGTGGACACTCGCGCAACAATTTCCACTCTCCCTGTTTTTAGAGTATGAAGGTTGCGTGCACTCATTTCCAATGCGCTGCTTGGGCATTAGACACCGCGTGCGACAGGCATAGCATTCCGGACGGCACTGAAGAGCTCAACAGTGATCTCCTTCGTGTTCTGAGTCTCTTGATGATGGTATGTTTCTATGTATCCAGGATCATTTTTGTTTGGTTCACTTTTCTTGAGTGCGTAAAGTACATTCTTGACCTGACCTGACTTGATTAACTCTCTATTTCTATAGGCTGAACGATTCTACTCGGCCCATATAAATCACTTGTGCTCTATTTATCATCCACTGTGATATCTGGGCTGCAAATTTATCCACATCCCAATTACGCTCATTCTTGACGGGCCTGCATAGGTACGGGTGGCACTCCAATGTCCCAGTTTGCGTGTAATCATTGGTGGTTGCGTGATAACACTCCATTGGTATGAGGTTCCGGCGTACTGCTTACGCCATTCCTTTCCGTTTTACGCCTCAATCTTCCACATCTCACTGATGGTGTTGCATGTTTTAAAGCCAGAATGCTGTCGCCTGTCACCATTTCATAGTTGATACCGCCCGTTGTTTTAAAGGCCGTAATTCTTCTCCTCCTGTCATCTGGCCAGCACATTGGGTGGTTTATAAGCATTGACGTTTTGGTCACACCACATCGAGGTTCGTCATGCAGGAAAGAGGCTTCCGCTATGCTTGCATCATGTAGTGTGATTCATTTCCTTGTTTGTTTTCATATTGAATTTCTTCAGGCCCAAGCCCAGGAGTGTATCGTTGAGAAATCCGTTGTTGATGATCGACCAGCGAATATTACTGGCAAGCTTACTCGATACCTGGAGGAAACTTACGAACAAGTGTGCGTGCACTTAACTCAGCCCTCCCTGATAACTGCTCCACTCTCCAAGTTCCTGAAGGTAATATACCCTTCACTCAACCAGTGGGGTGCACTTTCTCCCAGCTAAGCGACTAACATCATCACTCTCCCACTGTTCCAGGAGTTGAACCGCAGGTGTCAAGTGAAGAAAGATTACTACGGTGCACTTGCAGCCTACTTTGCTGGGAGCAATGAGTTAACACTGAAAAAACAAGGCACAGCGATCGCATGGTATCAATTGGCACAACTGAACATTAACAGGGCAGAAAAGCTTGCAAAAGAGATAAAGGATATCGACGTCCCATTCCCGTTGAATTCTGGTCCTTCGTTGCGAGATAACGTACTGTTCGTTAGCGGTGTGATTAATCAGAAGTCAGTCTCTTTTATGGTAACCACCGCAAATTGAGTAGCATATGGTGACTTGTTTTGTACTGTATCCCCAGAGCCCTGTCCTGTTTCGTTCCTTTGAGTATGTTGATTTTTTCCAAGGAGTTCAGCGTTCATGCAAACTCTTCCCGTCTTTTTGCCCAATGTTTTCTGCTGAATTACTTCCCAGTTTGAACCACGACGAGTTGGCGTTCAAAAGCTTCACAGTCTACATGGCGCACTCGTAGCTCATGTTCATGTTTTCATTTTTAGAGGATTCAAATGAAATGCGCTTTGTTTATTCGGAGTTCCTGTGTGATCAACCGACTGTCCATCGCTTTCGATACTCCGTCACGATTCTGGACTTTAATGCAATGTGGCTTCTTTCAAAGAAGACTCGTCCCATCTAGACTTAGCCACACGATCACCACACGTCCAGGAAAGCGCTAGACGGCCGTTTTGTCCTATTGCCACTCACCAGTAGCGCGCACCCGCCGGATCCTGCCAGACTAAAACCCATGACTTTACTCCTATGAGTCAGCGACTTATGTCATTAAGTCATGAGTGACAGCGGCGGACCGCCATGATCGATATAAAATAGCCATATAGCGTTGCCCATCCTCCATTATCATGCATAAAATGAACGCTGACAGGAAGACGGGCACGAAGATTGCACACGGAAAATTACGCACACGAAGTATGCTGGTCCGATCACTTGGCACATGCTCGAATGCCCTACATGACAAAGCCTCTGTGATTCATTCTTAACACTCAACAGACGGCACTGCTCATCTACTGCAGTTTATCGAAGCCTCGCCGATTCGGCTGCTCCGACACACTTGGTGTGAACAGACCGAGTTCGTGGCTAGTCTTGCCTAGCTTTACTAAGGTTGGTGACCGCGTCTCGCTGAGCGGGACATTGGCGAGCAACAACCGGCCAATGTTTAGCCAGTGATACTGCTTTTTTACTGTCTGTGTAACCGAATCATTCCAGGGTCCCGCTCATTGGGATGCGGTCATCCATCTCGATCTTCTCACACCAAGTGCGTTCGAGCCGCCGAATCGCCGAGGCTTCGGCAAATTGCCGTAAACGTTCAGTGCTCTGTTTGTTGAGTATTATAAATTAATCATGTTGGCTCTGGCACGTAGAAAAGTGGAGTATGCGCCAAGCGATCGAACTAGCAATTTTCCATCTGCACATTTTTCTGTGTGCGCAATTTTCCATGTGCACTTTTATGTCTGTGCGCGATTTTCATATGCCGTTTCATCATGAAACCGTAATGTACGTGCAGGGGATAGGGTTGGACCCAGAACAACCTCTGCCTTTGCAAGCCACTACTGAGCGAGGTGGCATGTATGCTGCTAATACGATTATTGATTATTAGTGAATAGTAGAGGGGTTGTTGTGTTTTTGAGCGCTTTCGTCGCAGCTAGACTTAACCAGACAACCACCACACATCTAGGAAAACGTCATACGGCCGCTTCATCTTATTGGGACTCGTCAGTAGCGCCAGCCATGTCTTCTGCACGTTCATTACATGCATGACAGTGGAGGATGGGCCGCGCTATATCGTAGCTAAACATCAACCATGGCGGTCCACCGCGTCACCCATGGCTCAGTGGCATTAGTTGCTGGCTCGTAAGAGTAGGGTCCTGGATTCGGATCCAGCAGATCCGTTTTAATGACGAGTCCCAATACGACGAAATGACTGTCTAGTGCCTTCCTAGATGTGTGGTGGCTGTCTGACTGAGTCCAGCTGCGACGAATCTTCCCAAATGTTAACAATGCGGAGTAGTTTGCTTAATTTTTCAGTCCATTAGGCCGCGTCAACAAACCTTCCTGCCTCCTTCGTTTCGGCTCCTACAATACTAGCCAACGTTCATAGGTCATACACACTCATCCGGGTTAGTTGTTAGAACTGCAGTGGCACCCATCCTGTGGAGCTGCTTCATCGTGTGCACTGTTTATTCCCGCCAACTTGTTGCCAGGTTTTTAAGCCAAATGCTTTGATTGAGGACCACAACCGTTGTATCTAGATTCCCGTACTCTGGTCGTAGTGCACCAGCTCAGACACAACCGTGACTTTTCCAGCTGACTATAGAGCATTTTGTACCGGTTTTTTCGTGGTTCTCAGAGACAGCTTTCTTTGCTTCACACGCTAAGCCGGACAAGCGAAATCCAGCTACTCTGATACTACTTTTGTTTCCCCTCTCTTTCTGTTGCACTTCCGGTTCCCACAGCCAGCCTCACTTCGGTAGTCCTCAGTGTCACGATAACTGCGCTAGTGCCGTATTCTTACCACTTTTGTCCGAGCCCTCATAGTACCTATTAGTCAGTTGCTATCGAAATTCTGGTGCAGCAACCTAGGTTAACGTAACGTGTGCATCGATCCTCGTTCTAAGGCTGATTCCTCGCTGGTTGATTTGAGTGGCGTAAACAAACGTCTGTATGCAACGCTTTCGATAGCATCTAGTGACGTTGACGCATAGAGCAGGGCTAAGCACTATCTGCTCTTACCTGCTGCATGTACTTCAGCCCATTGTAGTCCCGTTACTGTGGAAGATCACACTGTTGCACTTTGCTACCCGGTCAGTTGTAGTTGTCGGGGATGTGAGTTCGAAACTGTAACTCGTTTAGCCTCTACAAAAGCGTTGGTAGTTCAGACCTTCGAACTTAGTCTCAAGCTCGTGGAGAACAGCGCGTTTAGGTCATGGCCGGATTACTCATGATTTTCAGGCTTTCGAACTGACACATGATTCGTTGTATGATTTCATTCGGCGAAAATTCCTCATGAAGTCAGCTAAACTCTGCTTCATCTACCTTCCCGATTACTCACTGATTTATATTGGTAGCTTTGCATGCCTATTTCGCAGCAATGTTGAAACGGTAACTCTGACACATATTCTAGGTTGCCATATTTGTCGGACATCTCTTCTTTCCATGCCAACCTAAGATTGGTGCGTTGATTGTTGCTTGTCACCACAACTTCCTTTTCACTTTACCATCCCCCAATTGGTCCATCTTTTTCCAGGCTTACTGCTGCCATCAGGGAAAACGATTTCGTGTATCATGAAGCTATTCCTTGTATGGAGTCTCTGGAGCCCATCAAGTGTACGTTTTCGCGTGACAATTAATTACCGTACCATTTTGTTATTTATACTTGCAATCTGCTACCCACTCATTTCTGAAACGCCCGTTGTGTGAGAATGTGTTACCACGCGAATGTGTCTGAATACTGAATACTGTATTATAGAGCAAGTAGAAATGGATTCTGTACAACTCTTTCGAAATATTGTGAAAAACGTTATAAACGTTGTCAACCGTGAATATCATTGTCGTTCTCATGTAATATTTAAAATATTCGACTTACGATAATTCAGGATTTACAAATGTGATATGTCATCGTAAGTGTGCAGTCGTTCTCTGAATCGAATAGTGGCAAAATACAAATCTAACAACGTTTTGAACTGTTGCACAGATGATGCCTCAATCACATGTTCAGGCAAACTGTTCCAAATGTTTACCACTCTCCGTTCGAAGCACAGTGGGTGGGGAACACATTTCACATCCGGCACGTCAAGTTTGTAGCTGTGTCCGCGTGTACTGCATGGCCCTCGTAAGTGCAGCATTGGCCTTAACATGGGGAAGTCACCGAGATGTAGAATACGGTAGGTCATAATGAGGTCGACTCGCAGCCGACGGTAGGACAAGGTGTAGAGTCCTAGTTTCTCGCACCGATCTTCATACCCAAAGCCATGTAAACTCGGGATAAGCCTGGTAGCAACGTGTTGGACCCGTTCGATCTTTTGTGCCTCGCCTCGGGTGATCGGAAAGTAGGCGGGCGAACCATACTCTAACATTGGTCTAATGATAGAAGAGAACAGGCAAGTGGCAACCTCTTCAGACCATGTGCCGAAGCTACGTTTGAGCGCCCAAAGCATGCGCAGTCCGTCACGATATAGCCTGTTCGTGTTGTCCACGGACTTCAAATTGTAGCGTGAGAGTACACCTAAGTCCTTCACGGAAGGTGTGGGATATAGCGTTTGGCCGTCAAGGGTGTAGTTTCGGCCGTTAGCACCCTTCTCCAGGCTCATAAATACAGACTTGGCTGGGTTGACAGGGAGAAGAACTTCTGCAGACCATGTGGATAGGCGGTTGAGGTCTTGCTGAAGTAGGCCACAGTCATCGGGAGCGTCAATTTCTCTCCAAATGTTTATGTCGTCCGCAAACAAGGCACACGGCGACCGGAGAAGCTGCGGTATATCGTTGATGTGGATCAGGAACAGAGTGGGCCCCAGCACAGTGCCTTGAGGCACGCCACTTGTAGAGGGGTACCAGTCAGTTGGATGGTCGTCGACCTGTGCGCTTCACTTTCGTCCAACAAGAAAGTCGCGGATCCACCGGTGTAGTGAGCCACCGACACCACACATGCTGAGTTTGTGAAGGAGAACCTCTTGACTGACCTTGTCGAACGCTTTACTGAAATCGATGAATATCACGTCGACGGACTTCCCCTTGTTAATTGCCTTTAAGCACTCATGCCTCGTCACAAGCAGGTTCGTAATGCATGAGCGACCTTGCATAAAACCGTGCTGTGCGGGCGTCAGGACCTCTTTTGACTGTAGCAACTGCAGCAATCCATTCTTCACGATTTTCTCAGCAACCTTTGCCAAAATAGGTGTCAGACAAATTGGCCTGTAATTGTCTACTTTGTTAGGGTCGCCGCCTTTCGGAATAGGCTTCACCACCGAACATTTCCAGTCAACCGGCACCAAACCTGCGGATACTTGCTAGCTGTCAGCCACTTTGAACTCTGCACAGCACGACTGGTTTCCTGTATCTGTTTTTGTGCTGGGAAGCACCGCATTCATCATTTGAGATTCCTTTGGTGTTTTTCTCTCAACCCACAGTTGCACTAGATATCTGTAAGACGTTAACTTGCGTTCCTCCGTGTTCCAATTTTCTGTGTGTGGTCGCACTTTAAGGTTTATTATGAGTATGTAAGTATTGGCCAAACGAGTGCGATTTACTACTGTTCCGTGTTTGTTGTTTTACCTGGGGTGGTACTCATTTCTTCGACAATGTCCTTTCCTGTGGACTTTCTGTTGCCATGCGGTTGTGTTTTCGAATCAGTGATTATTACAATTACCCCAGTCCTCTTGTTTTGCAATGGGCGCATTGACCGCGATATTTTTGGACTAGATAGAATTGTTTCCCTATAAAAATCTTGTTGGCTTATAACCCACAGACTGACCCATGTTACATTTTTCGCAGATCTGTGAATAATCCCATTAATCGGATATATCCATGAAGACTACGCTTTTCACATAACATACTTTTCATCCTCTACAATGCTTTGGGCCACGCTCCGCTTCTGTTCAGCTAACCAACCCTGGGCACATTGTGAAAATTTGACGACCCTTTTCCTTGCTGTCCCATTCTTCGTTCCATCTTTTAGCTGCTTGTTTAGTCAAAGGGATCCCGTTCGATCACAATGACCCTGAAACTCGTGGCGTAGACATTTTCCAACGTCTTGTTCCAATAGCGACGCTGGAGGCAGCTTCGGTCTACAGGTTTGGCTCTCCCATTTCCATACTTATGCTTTTCCATGCTACTGATCCTGCAACGCATCAGAAGTGTTATGCTCTGGTTCACCATCATGTTTGCCATGATGCCTTGCTCATGTTGCCTCAGGAGCAGGTATCATTTCATCACTGATTCTTGGCTAACATGAAGACTGTTGGTTTCCGTAGCTTGTTTATCCCTCCATCTGATTCATATATATATATATATATATATATATATATATATATATATATATATATATATAGTTATGATTCATCACTCACACCTCATATATAGATGTCCAAGATTGTATACAAATTTTCTTCACAGCTTTCCTTCAATCCTGTTACACTTATGATTATGCCTTTTAGGCGTGTCCCGCACTGTCGCGAATAAAACATTTATTTATTTAATTTGTGGTATCTTCGTTGTTCTTTTATTTTTCCTACTTACTAAGACTTAATTGGATGCTATCATTCGCAACTGCGTTCTAACAAGGGTGTCGCTTAACATGACGTGGCTTTAATAATTTATAATTGCTTCTTGTGTTGCCCAGTAAAAGGCTGTTGTATGATATTTCAATTGGTAACACTTGATTGGCCAGCCTTTGTTTCCCTTAGCTGCTTTGCATCTCTCAGACATTGAATAAACCGGCATTTGGAGGGGGTTTTACGTGATGACACGGTTTTAAGCATCTGTAAAAGGAGTGATAAGTTCTCTTTTTGTTGTTTATTTGATATTTATAATGATAATATGCTCCAAAAACGTCTAATTGGATTTAAATCGGGATACTGAGTTAGCTATTCGAATGTCTTCACCTACTTTTTTCATCCATTCTGTGACTGTCTCAGCACGATGGCATGGCGCGTTGTCAAGCCCTATTGTTTCTTCATTAGCTACTCGGCTCATGGTAACATTCAGTTTTTGAGCAGCTCCACATATTCGCGTTCGTTTACCATCCCAGCAATAACATAGAGCCTTCTAGCTCCAATGACATCTATACAACCCAAAATCATGATTTTTGGATGATTAACTAAAAGATTGAGACACTGCGGTTTGTATTTTTTACACGGAGACCGTTTGACAGGATTCCCACAAATGTAGGAGTGACACTTCTTACTCAATAGAACTCTTTTCAAGTCCTCGGTCCAATATGATTATGTTCTGGCCCATGGCAGTCTTCCGTTCCCTACCCTCCTTACCCTGCAGTCTCTCAGACTGAATTCTATGCATAGCTTTCTTACTTTTCGTTACGCCAAGACGAAATCGGAAGTCAGGACTGTATAGTAAGCCGGTTATTCAGGTAAACGGCGAGTATCTCTGTACACCAGAAAGGGAACCCAAGGCATTCGAAGTCACATGTACACAGACTCAAGTTACCAATCAGTGGTTACGACGTAGGGCCAATGGCCTTAGTACACACACACGAATGCACTCACGCGGTGAGCGTCTGGCTTGGCATATCACTTTTGAAGTGCACATATTCACAAAACACCTCTCTCCGATCTCTCAGCAGCTGGGGAAGTGTAAACATTTTGTCAATCCAGAATGTCTTCAACAGCACCCACTTATCTCGGTCTGTTGACTTCTTGGACCGACCAGGTCGGTGCTTTTCGTCTGTGCTTCCAGTCTCAGATTGCTTCTTGATAAGTTATGACTGTACTTAGATTTGCCCTAACTTCACTTCTTGAGTAGCCCTCTTTATGGACCACTACTACTTTGACTCACGTATCTTTGTCCAGGCACTTAAAGGATGACATAAAAGAAAGGCATCAGCAGTACGCTGGTACGTAGTACCGACGCTTCACTGTCGCGCGACCACCACCACTTGCACGTATTGCGAAAGTCGCAGACTCGAACCCGCGCCCTCGGATTGCATGCAGGCTTGTGATCCTTAAGGCTGCAGCCCGGCTCTCATAATAACACCTTACTCAACCGCACAAACAACTATAAGTTTGCACTAAAACTCAATTCAAATTTACTATTGAAAAAAAGTTTACAACAGTTAGTTAGTAGTAGTAGTGGTAGTAGTAGTCCGGGAATGTTGATAAAAGAGCAGTATAACCCACGGGGAATAATACAAGATGTCACGAAATTTAATATTATAATACGGGGTACGAACGCACCTTAAGTTTGAGGGCATAAAACAAGTTTTCTGATATATTGGAAAGTGTTACCGGCATGCGTGAACCAATGAAGCCTCTGGGACGCGGCAATACTTAATAGTGGATGATCTGGTTGTGGGATTTTCGTTCAATTTAAGGATAAGGGTGATATCTATGAGGTATTAGAACTAATCATAAAGATGTTACATCACTACATTTAGAAGGTTTAGTGTAAGGGACCAAGTTGAAGACCACTCCCATTTGAAGCAATGAGCATTCCTGAATATTGCGGGTCATACATTCCAGCTCAACATCGTCAGCATATTTGTGTCCTATAAATGTGGTTTGTATATGGGGACTTTCAACGTATAAGGAACAGGAAATGTGATAACATCGCTTCCTACTGAACACCACAGTCGGCGCAGAGGATAGTTGACTTCTTACCGTTGAACTGAGTACAATCCATAAAATAGTCACGTACCAGATTACACACACGCGGGTGCACTCCACTTTCGGATAGCAGGTTCAGCAACATTGACCTATCCAGGCTTCCAAAGGCATTCGGATAATCAAGGAAGAGAAGCCTTATGTATTTACATTTTTGGTCTAATGCAGGAGCTGTGGTATGAACAAGGTATGTCACTAGATCCAATAAACTACGCTTCTGTCCATATGCAAACTGATAGGCATTGTCTGCAGGAGTGGCTGTAAAAATCTGCCGAATTAACCTTTTTTTGTAAACTTTCAGAAGCACAGATGCTCACGCAATCATGCGATACTTTTGAGATCCATTTTTGGATACTGGTATAATTCTGGCCGATCTCCAAATGTCCGGTGCACGTCCTTAGTGAGGCATTTGTTGAAAAGATCTGTTAAAGGTAGTGTGAGAGAATCAGCACAGTTTCAAAGCTAGTGGTGAGAGAGCATCCGAACCATTAGCTTCGTATGCCTTTAGTCCTTTGAGTTCCCGGTGAACAATAATTGATCGAAGGTCGCAGTTGCACTTGAACTAATGAGGGAGGACAAGGATGGTGAGCTTGTCGGGGCGGAACTAAACTCAGAATTCAGTTAATTCACGTCAACTTCACCGCACTGGCTGCAGATTTTTTTTATTACAGAGTTGCGTCAAAAGCTTCCATAGATCACCACAGTTACGGTTGTCTAGAACCGCTTCAAGGTATAAGTGGTGTAGCCTTTTATCTCAGATTTAATTGCTGAAGTTATACTCTTGACACGAATAGTCACCTTGCACTTGTAGGACCATTCTTTCATCCATCGAAGTCGCTTTAGCAGTTGCGAGGAAAATCTATCCGCCCTTAGATAGATCATTTTAACAGGACAACACATCTCAAAGCAATATTTGATGTAGTATGTAAGATGGTCACATTGAAGCGACAGGTCGTCGTCGTTATAGACCAAAATATCAGTTGAAGAAGACATCGTATGGAGTCTTGTGATATTTTCGAAGGAGCAATTTCGCCGTTTGATGATCTTCTGATGGCGTCTAGTCAGGGTGACATAATTAGATCTACTGAATATGACTGGACACAATTTTAAAACGCAATGCTCTTAGCTGCTCAAAGGAGCCTGCTTTTGTATAAAAAAACAACTGCCGTTTGTGTATATAGCATCCTACTGAATAACTTGTTTCATCGGAAAGGTCACTAGATCTATCAAGCTGTGTCCTGAAGAAATTTGTGTCCTTTTGATTGAACTCGCTAGCAACGATAGGAGTAGAACAATCTACTTTAAGCAATAGCATTGAAGAAACTTGATCCTCAAGAACCTCCAACTCAGCCGCAGATGTGTCAGAAACAATGCAGATGTTTCTAGGGATGAATGATTACAAGTCACTTAGAAACCGGTTTGCGTTCAATTAAATGACACGTTATAGAAGTCGGTTGCTGAATTGCACCAACTTCGATTATCGTTAGTTCTAGCGTCACCACCACGAAACTGAGGCTTTCCAGTACGGTCGTACCTGATGAAAAAATAACCATCGAGTTGAATAAGCTCATTTTCCATATCAGTATGCGGCCAACTTTCTTGTAACAGAATGATTCCTGCATTTACATACTTATTTCGCTGCATAATAGCACTGGGATTACTGATTTTACCAAGAAGCGAGTTTACATTAATGGAAAGTATTAGTGGGACTTGCGTTTTATCGGCACAACGACTGAGGCCACATTGCCAATCAACCTGATACTTTCACTTTTTTTAAAGGTTTTTCTTTATAATTCGTTTGAATATGTCTCCGACTTTTTGACCATATTCGGGGAAGCACCAATTTAAGGCAGTAACGCGTAACATTTCCTAAAGTTTGACTGAGTAAAACGTGATTGACTTTGAGCCTTGTTCGAAAAATAAACAAATTGTCTCAAAGATGCCAATAAAATATGAAATCCGCAGTCGGTAGTGCAAAATAATATTCCAACGAGAGCAGCAGCGGCCGCGTTTGAAGGCCCCGCCAAATGTATTGTCCACATGTTTACTTTGCGGCATGTGCTAGAGCTGCGCCACTCATACCGCAGAATGACAATAGCTGTGTTCCTCGACTTCAAGGGTGCGTTCAGCTCATTCGATTGATCTATTTTGTCCAAATTACTTGCGCGGAAAGGTGCTCCTACGAAATATGTGCGTTTTATGTGCTCTTTACTCAACTACAGCAGGCCTCGTCAGGGTCTGTGGTGACTTATCGGATACCTTTCCGACAACAAGTTGAGTTCGTCAGGGTTGTCCAATTTCCTTACTTTTATTCAATCTCGTCGGGGACTCCATGTTGCGGTGCTCCCGTGCGGAATGTCACGATGCAGGCATTACGGTATTTCCCAGTGTGAAGCAAGTTTATATTATCTTACTTTTTAACGATGTTGGGACGGCCCCATCAATTCTGAAGTGCCTCTTAAGAGTGATTCCATCATCTGGCATGCGCATCGCACCTTTATTGTGCCAAGTGTTGTTGCAAGACCACCAACCATTTGATGACCCTTTGACCCTTTGTAGCGAAAAACTTGGGGTAGTTGAATTATACCCTTGGCAACGATGAGCGCATAAGCACTGAAGTCCTTACGTGTTGCTAAAGCTGGAAATGCGGAAATGGCTCTCCTTCGGTCTAACAGACCATGTTTACAACACCACAGTGAGGGCCGTCCTACTCTATGGTAGTGTGACCTGGTGACTTCAACCTAAGGTTCTTCGGCGTCTTTACGTCTTGGATCATCGTTGTCTGCGTAGCGTTACATTTTTCGAGTGGTGCAGCGTGTCCGCCACAATGACATGTGTATCCGAATGCTAGCTAACGATAATCAGGGTAGTTCCTTCGAACAATAGATGACACTGAATAAGGAGGTAGTAGGGGGAGTTGATCGGTGTAAGTAGAAGTTCATCACATCTAGTGAACGGCGCTGTATCACATCTATTAACTTTGTCACGTCGGTTTTCGCGTCTTCCGTAGTCAGTGGTTTCAACCACAGACTCTCGTCCGTCGAGTTGCGAGTCCTACAATAGTCTGAGAGAATGCGCACTGCTAGCGATTCCTTAAAGGATGAAACGGCCGTATAGTGCTTTTCCGAGCATGTGATGTCTGGCTGTCTAGATGTGAGGAGCTTTTACTAATAATAACTACGTTGCTTTGACTTGGGCACGTACTACGTATGCCCTGTCACCGTTTATCGTTAGGCCCATGTTTTGTTTGCCAGATGGAGGGTGGCGGAAGGCCCGAGGTACCGCTGGTGCTTCTCGCCTTCCAGGTTGGAGTCCACGTGACACGCCTTGTGCTTGGCTCGAGATTCTACAGCACATGGCTCTCAGTCGACACCATTGGCGCATCTACTGCTGTCTCCTAGTCGGACTTTCTTAAGTGTGTTTGGTATGAAATTATCTGCGGGGTAATGGCTGATTATGACGCGGGGCAGTGGAAACCGCAAGGAAGCCGTCTCGTTGATGCCGCTTTATCTTTGCACGATAGGCAGCTGTTTGTCCTGGTATGTTGTTAACACAAGGTATAGGCTCCTTGTCCCTGAATGTTTGCTTAGGGCATTAAGGTTTTCCCTCCTTCTCTCCCTCTTATTATTCTTTATTCCACAGGTCATCATGGTTGTACGGCAACGAAGCATCAGTTCAAATGACTAATGTATTGTTATCGTTGTTGTTGCTAATGATAATGATGATGATGCACTTCGGATATGCTTAAGGCTGAATCTGGTGTTTTTACATTGGACTGTTGTCCAATGAGTACCTGAATAAGTCTATCCGGGTTCATAGGGGACCACCCCAAGTAGATACTACTGGTTTAAAAGGCAGAGTAGAGATAAGTTCACTTGTTTATGCCGTTAGAGGGAGACCATAAAGCCAGTGACATCGTGCATAAGATCAGATCCGCGCTCTCATGTGCTTGCGCTACTGCCCATTTGCGGCTCCTTCACGCCACACGAATACTGGCTCTCAACGATCATCCATTTTGCCTGTTAGGTAGTACAGCTTTATATGCAGTCAACCAGTTCACCTGCAATTGCGGCGACGTTTATATGGACAGGACTGACCGTAGACTTCTCTAAGTTCGACTGAACACCTCGCAAATTGGCTAAGCGTTAACGCAGTAAAATGGTGCGGATCAACTACAGTATCGCAACGTCTATCACAAGGCATCTCGTATCGACTCACCATCACGTGGCCCACTCGATCGCGTTCCGAATGCTGTTGCGCATCCTTAATCCAAACATGTTGGCCATCACTTATCTCAAAATATCGTCCGGTGTCTTGTGCGAAGAAATACCTGAATCAGTCTATTCGATTGACTTAGTTTTGATAGAAAGATCATTTTGTTCCATTTTGGGTGCTATATCTTCACTTGCGTTTGATTCCTAATTGTATTGCAATGATGACTGCTAAGAACAATTGAAATGTTAAGATATCGCGGATTATATATACTTTATGGGCTTTGTAACTGGTTAAATGGAGACACAATGTTGCAACTTATGATTGCGATGTATACAGTGCAGCAGTTCGCATGTGTCCATTTGTAATACCATAGACCCTATGTTAGTTTCCTTAGCGTTGTTTGCTTAGTAGCAGGCTGTCCCTATTGCTGTCTTCCTATTCGCAGTCACACGGGGGAGCGTCACCGGTTGAATTCATCTTTGATCGTTTCTTATTTATTAGCACTAATAAATGTGCGTAGTCGAACCACGCTCATCTGGACACTCACTTGCACACATTAGAGCAGCATATTGACAGCTCATTCGGTGAGTGCAAAGCGGTACTCGGAGCCACTGACTCGACATCACCAAGACACAATGCTTTCATCATGCACAAGGTAATCGAAATTGTTTTGGTTGCCGTTGTCATGTTTTTTTCTAATAGTGCACGCGTCAGCTCGGCGATTAAATATCATCACTATCTGTTGACTGATTTGAAAAGGTACGAAAGTTGTAAGAATCGATTATAAATGGAGAGGCCGTTAACAGTACTCGTGCAACAGGTGATAACTTTGTTGGTCATCCTGCGAAGAACACAACTACAGCGAAGCAGCAAGCGAAGAGAAAAGTAGGAGAATCAGTGACAGGTTTTCGTAGGCGCATATAAAGCACTCGCTGCCTATTGAGTGGGGTAATGTTCGACGTTTTCCACTTCAGCCATTGACCCAGTAGATTGGAGTAGATCAGATACAAACGTATGACTACAAATGCCCTTGGGAGCTGTTTGAGGTTGTTCGCGTGGGACTTTATTATATTTGCATATTTTTTAGATACCTTTCACCCAAAGTTAAATGTGGATTTTAGCGGGTTTTGCACCATTTTGCTAAGGGGCTACGTGGCTTGGGGCGGTCGTTAGTAAATAACTGAACAGCACCTGTTCTCCGCTATTTTCTTCGACCACTATCTATTTATCCACCAGCACGATACTGTTATGATTACTGACGGAGTGCATGCGTCACCCCATATATTCGTATTTCCACCTTGCTTTCGCATAGTGTTTTCACCACGTCTTTTGTATATCTGCGCTGTCAGTCTTGTCTTTCCACAATGCAGATGGGGCGTGCTAATTCAAACTGAAGCTGTCACTATCTTGCACTTCTCTCATCCTTTTTATCCGACCCGTCTCTTTTCCCGCTTCATAGTGAACATAAAGCCTCACTTTTGCGTCGTCTTACTGCTGAGGTGGATGAAAAGGATCTAGCATTGCAGTGAGTGTCTTACTTATTCAACTTTTTCATGTTTCCACCTTCCTCACTGTGACCCTATCGAGGCATCCTTTGCTTCATCTTCAAGTCAGCTCTTTTTATGTCCCTCCTTCCTTGTCGTCACGATTCACACAACCATTGAGCTCTCAATGTTTTTCCGGGGCCTTCTATTTCAACACGAAGCAGCAACCTGACATGTTTGCATTACTGGTTGCCTGTCTTTAGGTAATGTTCATGCCCTACGAAATAGTTGCAGTCTCACGCGACCTGACTGTGATTAGTAGCCGATTTCACAAAGAAGCATATTTTGTGAGAAAGCAATTAGACTGCAAATTTGTCCTGCATCATGGTATAATCGGGTCAGTCTTTTTTACCTATGTCACGCGTTAAATTGTGCTGCAATGCTAATGTAGGTAGATTGCAGTAAATATATATATATATATATATATATATATATATATATATATATATATTTGCAAAAGTCTGCTAACAGACATAATGCCATCAGAAATGATGGGATTCAAACGAAGGTACAGAAACAGTAAATTAAAACACAACACAACAATGTCCATGGTTTCCTCAGAGGGCGAGATACTACCTGGTTGCCCAAGCCGAAGTAGGGTGTTGACTTAGGGGACACCACCCCGAGCCTTTGGCTGAATAGCCTGCCCGCAAGGTAGCGGAGCGAATTCAGGGAATCGCGCCCATTGGGAGCCGGTGACTGATTGCTCAGTTCATACGCCTTTCGTTTGTTCCTTTGTCAAACAGGAGCCCAATGCTCCCCAGAAGTACAGCATAAGGTTGCTGGAATACAATGCTTCGCCAGGATGAAGCAAGGGGCAGTGACTTTATTTAGTGGCGTGTCACATCCGCCACGTCACGGTGTTGTTAAACAGACATATGTAGCTTTTTATAGGGAGAACGCTTGCCAGGCGAAAACCCACCATGTCCTAGAACACAGCCGCCGAACCATTTGCTGGAACGGGAAAATCCCGAACCACCCAGCTGGCACCACGAGGAGTTTGTTCGGCAAGCCAGATTGCAGTAGGTATTGCCATGAAGATCAGGATGGGAACCAATGATAACTCTTTCCGCCGAATGATCTGTTAGAAGGGTGCACAGGTAGAACGCTCAAACCCCACATCCTAGGTTGACCAGCTTCAGTCTGGCGCACTGTTGGTAACCTCTAGCACTGACACTCTCATTCCTGTCTGCCTTCTGTTAATATCAATGTGTCAACCTGCTCGGTTGCATGCCTCGTGCACTCCCTGTCCTCCATGGACACATACATATCGCCCTGTGCTTACACCCAGGGTGTCCCATTGGCTAATGTCCCACGGCCGACATGAGTGTCACTGATGGTGCGTGCATGTATCTAGGCAGGGAGAGACTGGATTCAGACGCTTGCGAAGTTGAATGAACAACAGGTGGTCTTGATTTTTTAAAAAGCCAACTTATTGGCGTTATGCGCTTAGTTGCCTGTAAAAAGGTGTAGTCTCGTCAGCTTATTTTTCCTGCCGTTTTGTTTCTGCAGATCGACCAACAATCCCATATATTTCGAATTTCTACATGAATATTTTCGTTTTCATTTACGACATTTTGCTTAGAACTCAGCTTGGTTTCTTTTGGTATCCCTACGAGTCATGCGAGTAGACTTTGTGATACCTTCGAGAGGTAATTCATCCGTAGCATCCCTCGCTTTTCTTTTGCTCCATAGTGAATGTGGTGGCGTACGGTTTTTTGATCATCTATCTCATAGTGATAATGTGGTACGATGATCTGTTTTAGGGTTTTCCTGCCTACTCTCGATCTGGACCCGCAGACCATGCTTGCACCCGATCCGACGTTGCCTCAAGAGCTTTACGATGCGTGCGCACGGGTGTCAAATTTAGATGGTGGACCACAAGTCTTCCTATCGGAGGAACTGAAAAGTCAGTTCATCTTTACTCATCGCACCACTCGTTTGACATCACAGTGTCATCTTTCACACAGCCGGTGACTTGCGCCATACATTATTGCCAACACGACCCGTCGGTTTCACCTGTCCCTCTCCATGATCGTGTATAGTCATTTGCAGACTTCAGTTTTTGGGAAATTTGAGACACTATTCAAATTTCCCTTTAACTCGCTCCTTTTGTTTCTTTCTAAAATTCATTATCCGTGAACTTAGCAGGCACCTTACTCACATAGCTGCTTCACTTTCCCTCCTAAATGCCGCAATGGAGGACGGCAACACCGCACTTGTCCTTCCTTGATAAATACTAAGGTTTATTCCTACTCTAGTGCCCATAAGCATTATCAGGTGACACTTGTTACTCCTATTTGGTACTCATTCTATTAGTGTAGTCCAAAGTATAGTGAGCTTTTCCTGCTATTCACTCTGTTATTCCGCGTAGTGTCATTGTTCGGCTCACCTGCAGTTGGTTTTTCGGGTTCCTTCTCCTCCTCCTTAAGTGAGACACAGCGGAGCGTAAACGTTTGCTCCTTATGGCCTACTTGCTGGATACAGCTTTTTACTTTGGCTACTCCATTGCCGGGCTGCAGGCAGTTGCGTGGGCTGCAGCCTTTCACTTGGCGACAGAACATGAAATCGCAAAGATAACACTTATCCGCAGTTAGACCCGTACGTATTCCTGAATGGGCAACCAAAAATGCTGGTTATCAGTGGCTTGCTACACTTGCAAACTTGAATCGCGACCCGAATCTGTGTAGGCAATGCATATAGAATCATCTTGATTCACAGCTTTAGTGCTACAATCAATGAAAATGCCAAACAAGAAAATGATCGGCGCGTGAAAAATTTAAAGATGTTTTGTTCCATATTCATCCAACTTGCATTTTCCTTTGATTCTCATGGACTTTTCTGATGACCACGTCAACTCCTTGGGCTGCTGAGTGTATGTATGGTGTGTCAGAACATTTCCAGCACTGGTGTCACGGGTCTTATTTCAAATTCCAACTTTATGCGCCTTCCCTTTCAAAATAATCCCCCTAGTGTGTAATGCCCTATCCCATCTTCTGCCCCGCCGGCATACGCTCATGGAGGCTTTCTTTCGGGTTCCTGCGCAGTTCCATTGTCTCGATCTATTTACTGTTAACCACATTTTTCAAACAGGTCCCCTTGATGACTCTCGAGGTTTGGAAAGAAGAAAAATATTCACAGATCCAGTTAGGATGAGTAGGGAGGTTACTCGATGACGATATTCTTCTCGGACAGGAACTATCGGATGCTCGCGGCATTGTGATCAGACGAGACAGTTGTCTTGCCACATATTTCGCTCCTCCTCACTTACTGAACAAGGCAAACGTTGCAGTCTCTATTTGTAACCATGTTAGTTGATCGTTTGGCTGTTCCAGGCTGTCCGGATTCAGGAGCAGCTCGCTCACCATAGGCCGACCAGTCAGCTGATGATCTCTACGCACCGTTTGTGTGATGCGCTCATATATATATATATATATATATATATATATATATATATATATATATATATATATATATATATATATATATATATTATAAGTGATATTATAAGTGGTTATAAGTGAATCCGTGATAAGTACAAAATGTCCGAGTTATTTTTAAAAAATACCACGCGATACAATTACGCAAGTTTACCACAATTTGCAGCAGCGACGTGTGCAAGTTGGGAGATTATCAAGTACGCAGAACAAACCAAATAAAATGCAATGAATTTTATCCATATTAGAAACCTAGTTTAAGTTGGTTTAGCCCAACTGCGGTGAAGAAGCAACACGAATGCAACATCAGCCTCAGCATGGGGCACACATACCAACCATATATATATGGTTGGTATGTGTGCCCCATGCTGAGGCTGATGTTGCATTCGTGCTGCTTCTTCACCGCAGTTGGGCTAAACCAACTTAAACTAGGTTTCTAATAAGGATAAAATTCATTGCATTTTATTTGGTTTGTTCTGCGTACTTGATAACCTTCTCCCAACTTGCACACGTCGCTGCTGCAAATTGTGGTAAACTTGCGTAATTGTATCGCGTGGTATTTTTTAAAAATAACTCGGACATTTTGTACTTATCACGGATTCACTTATAACCAATTTCTTCCATATGCTCATTTAGCGAGTATTTATGTCGTCATATGCCTTTACTTTATTTTATATCGGCATTTTGAGTGATTGGCTGTTGTTTGACATCCCAGGTGTGGCTGCGCTTGATGTGCATGTTGACAAGGTGCCTATCTGTCTATTACCCACTACCTCCTCCATCTGGCTCCAGGAGACAGTTGGTCGTTGCTAGAGGGGACAAGGTGCACGGTCCTTGCGGCCGTGCTAGGCTCGAAGAGTGGTTCCATGCACTCAGTGTGGAGCGGACTACGGTCCAGCCACCGTCTTGTGTGCACTCGATTCCCCAAATATAGCGTGCTTGCGTTTGTCTGTGAAGGAGTGTGGGTCGGCTCCATTGATGAAACGCGGCTCCCATCCGCATGCCTCCCGGTCTTATTCCTTCGGGTTTACACTGGATATGGGGTGTGTGAATGGAGCTGTGCTTGGTACAGCGCAAGCCATCCATGGTCCCTCTGTAGGCGCAGGCGTCCTGTGGCTGGCCACAGTGACAGGCAAATCCGCAACCGGATGCCATCAACCATATATGGTTGGCGGCATCCGGTTTCGGATATATATATATATATATATATATATATATATATATATAAAACCCTAGATGACAGTTTCGTAACATCCATTGCCCTATTAATCTTCGCAGATTTCGCCTCTGCTCACACAACATTGATGTCATCATACGGCGGCTCCAGGTTCGTCGGGGTACAGCGGAACTTTCACCGTTGAGGCCGCTGTTATGTCAGCGCATAGGTCACAGATTTTACCTAAGCTCTTTCAAGTGACGCTTCTGTCTCTGTCATCGTATGTCACATAGGCTTCAATTAAGTTTTCCCCCGAAACTGCTACTACGTGGCAACCCATGTGCCTTGGCAGCATTCTACTGCCTTTGTAGTATATGCGTTTCGCTTTTATACTAGTGAGTAATAAAACCTAAGAGGTAGAATGCATGCTTTACCTTTAGCTGAGCGAGTAATGGAACACTTGTTATGTGTAAGTCCTGTGTTTATGGGTTTCATTGCAGTCGTGCAAGGTTACACATATCGTCCCCAGTTTCTACTCGCGTGCACAACACCTGGCGACTAGGTCACTTTGACTGTACCAATCCGAATTCCATTGTCCACTCTGTGTGTGGGGTACTATTAATGAAAAGCTGTTCCATGGAACACTTTCCCTCCACAAATTTCATAATGGCGATTTGGAGCATTTCGCCAGGAATTCACAAATGAGGTTGCACTTTGGTTGCCGCTTTGTGCAAGCTAGGCATTCCGCGAATCATATGTAAACAGCTTACGATAATACGCGGAATAGCCGAATTCCGGTTATTCTGTCGAAATACTGTTCTTTCTTGCCATTTTGCAGTGCGATTCGCCCGTTCCTGATTAAAAGCGTGCAAAGTATTGCCAATGTTTAGTGGGCACACTAAATGATGACACTGAATTTGTTTTCTGGTATTTGGTACCAGGTCATCAAGTGTATAACTGGAGTGCCCATTGAACTTCGATCGCATTCAGTCCCTTAGTCATCTTCTCCGCAATCCTGCTAGCCGACTGTCTTCACGTGTATATTTTTCCAGCATAGCGCCTACTTGGGTGAAACCCCAGGTTGTCTGGCGGTTGCATAGCGAAGGCACACGAGGAGCTGAATCGGATTGATACTTCTCATCTTTCTGTGGTCTTCGCTACAGGCCGCATCATTCACTTGACACCCTGTCGTATAGGACTCTGTCGCATAGTCGATGGAGCTTCTGCGCTCGTTGCATCCCTCCTTAATTATTATTACGACCATCATTGTTATCGTTATTTTCGTTGCTGCTGCACGGCGAACGGATCCTGAATGTCAACTTCAGCTGAACCAACATCGCGCAGGTGTGAGACTGTTGCCATCGAGTATCCCTTCTGATTCGGTTATGTTCCTTGCACTGTTATGGTTTCCCGTCTATTAGCCAGACAAACCTTCATCCAATTAGCACGGTAGAGTCGATCACCCGGTAGTTACATATGGACTCCACTCTTTTCTCCCATTTTTTAACATTCAATAACATTATGGTGTAGGTAGCCACTTCCAGACGTGTTGCTATTGAGACCTCTTGTGTGCTTTGCTCATTTTTAACTCTCGCCTATTCATTGCTTATTCGCTGCTCTCAAACTAACCTTTAGTTTCCTTGCCGCAGTATTCCTGTTCGATCTACTTTTGCCAAAATGTTCAAGCATCAGTTCAGTTACCGATGTATCAGCGTCCAGCTAATGCATTCCCACTTATCCTTCCCCAACTCATTTTACCTTTTCACATGTATCATTTAAAGAGCTTGATGCCGCCAGCATCAGCGTGAACAAGGAGCTACAAAACGTGTTACTTTTGTTGGAAAAAACAAAAATTCGGATGAACTCCGTCCCGGTGAGTAGTATTACTGATGTCTCTTGCTTTTCTCTGGTACTACACGCCTTAATGGTTCCAAGCTCTTGTGTACACCAAGTTCTTAGCAAGTCTTCTTTGCACCTTGTCGTTTCGATTACTCATTAATCTATACTCACTACGCAGTAGTCGTTACTCTTTATACCTTCTTCCCCTGGTCAGCCCTTTCGTCACGGCGTCGCATGGGTTGCTTTTAGACATGTGTTTCTCTGAAGTTCCTACGTAGCGATGGTGACGAAATAGTTCAACTGATTGGACATTCTTTTGCCGTTCATACATAGATTTATTTAGTTCACGCTTTTAAAGATTACTTCCGTTGCTTTTGATGTTCCTTGACGCAGGAAGCGTTCAACTGTCCTTTTTTCTTGAAGGTTAAACAGTTGGTGGTGTTCTATCACATTTGTTACGTACAATGTGGGCGGTCCATTGGAGAGGTGGTACTATATGTGAACTCAACGGCTCTTCAGAATGATCTGAACCTAAATTTTAAAGTGTTTGCACATTAAATCGGAGTTAAAGGTTTAACTGTGTGGCTTTGTGCATACCTCGTACGAATTACGATATGCTCCTTCACAGTACATCCATTGACAGCCCTCTTGGTGTGCCGACGGCTTTTACTAGTGCCAACTCTTCTACGACGATACTTGATTCACCATAAACAACTTGGTACCTTTTGAAGATTCCTCAGTTTGTTTGCGTCGCTCTCTCACTTTCATGCTTACTAAGCGAGATCTTCGGCATTTCTTCTCTACGTGACCTCTTAGCAGTGACCACACAACATCCAGACTAGCATGGCCAACTAGCTTGATCGTAGACATAGCTGCGTGACATGCTGCGGAGCTCGTGATCATCTTTCTCCGTCTTATCTGCGACGCATTTTTGTTACGTCATAGTCACCAACGTCGTTGTCGACATCCTCCCTTCAGTTTCGTTCACGTTTTTCCCTTTCCTATGTGTGGGATATTTACTAATCACAGTCCTTTGTTGCTCTTGACACTGAAGACCCTATCACTCCCTCATTATTCTGTGTTTACGAGAGAACCATTAAATTCATAAGCACGAATATCGCACAATTCACCTGGTTCCTCCGTAAAATGTGAGCCGCTCGTGATCACATATGGTAAAAAATTGCTCATTGACCCTATTTGGCGACCCGCTATGGCTGTACATGTAGCTGCTCACCATTAGACTTAGCTCCGCTTAATGCATTGATTTACGTGCGTCCATGCTTCATTTGGCTGCACCTGATGGCACTTCGTGAGTGCTCTGCGGGCGACTCATACCATAGAGGACTATGATTAACGTGCAACCTCCGCACGCTGGTTTTGAGGGATACCGACGACCTTTTTCCTTCCAAACTTAGCCAACTTAACCAACATATTATCATGAAATGGCTTCTTGTCCTTCATATAGAATGGGCATAGTTGCTCCTCATTGGTTTGCTATTACTTACCTTAAGCCGGGCATCCCCTCCCTGAGCATCAAGTCCCAAACCCCGATAAAATACTTTTCTTTGATACGAGCGCATCATATGTTAAGACCGACAAAACGACCTGATGTAATACGGACACACGCTAACGGCACTCCTTAGTCTTATCCGCTCCTCATCCAATTATGAGTCAGCCCACTAGATCAGACTCCGGATAGAGTCCCGAGCTCAGTCGTCATTAGCCTTATGGGTCGGATAGTTAAGTCGAAGGTTAAATACATGAAACATCAAATATTGCCTCGCTCGAAATGGGCATCCAACGAGTTTCATTTGCACACGTAAATACGTCAGTGATGTTCCTTTATGTCCTCTCCCCTTCCTCTTTCCTATTAGCTATCTTCTCCCCATGCTAGCTAGCAATAGGTAACCACGGACTTCGCAACAACTGCTAATATCTTCTTAGATTTAATGCCTATTTCCCATTCGTTGCTTTAAGTCCGCATTTTTTTCAAGCTCTCACGATGTCACTCTTCAATCTCGGAATCGATACACTTACATTCTAGTTGTGACGGCCCGCCACCGACCCCCATGGCGCAGTGACATAAGCTACTGGCTAGTAGCGCAAACTATTAGCGGTTTCTGATGAAGCCGTTGGATACCCGATTAAGGGGAAACGGTTTCTGGTAATTTTTCGGCTTAGGGTCTTAGTAGCTGCTGGGAGGAGTCAGTAGAGTGTCATCGAAAATCCTCCTACTCGTTAGTACAAACATGATAGTTGTCTCCTGAGTGCCTGCCTTGAATTCCACTGACAAACCCTTCACGTCCGGTGATGCCATTCAGCGGTTCGGGGTAATAACATTGTTTTAATGCACTCGTTGCATTGGCCTACGTCGATTTGGCCTGATATGAACTAACAATTGGCCATATGGTTGCATTCTGAGTTCACAATGTCTCTAGTAGCAATAGATCCATCGCAATGAGGCTGGACCTTACCGTGGTGCGATGGTTTGTGTGCCTTAGTGATCCATTGAGCTATGCTGGGTGGTGCTGCTTTTTGCACTTTCAGAGCCACTCATACCAGATTGGTGAATGGTTAGAGGCCAGACAAACTCAGTCTCCTGGTCCTCCAGGTTAGGGGTTGGAATGAGGATGGCTCCTTACTCCATAAAACGGACTCTCTGTAGCCCAGTGTCACAAACCCGCTGTTTTGCGGTCAGGTTTTTGAACCAAAGGCTTTGTTTGAGAACCCTCATTGTTCGCTTGTCCAGACCTGGGCAGCCTGACAGTATCCTGCTCACACAATACAATCAATTTCTCTTCAAGCCATTTCTTGATACTCTGACCACCGCAAAGCATAATAAACGGCGTTTTATCTGCCGCATTAAGCAAGGTGGATTAGGGTTTGGATGCTACTGCTCAAGCCTTCCCGTCTTCCTACTCCTCCTCTTACACAATTTCTCCATTATGGTCCCGTTCCAACTTCACTTTTATCCGCCCAGTTTTCAACCCCGCCTCCCGATTCTTGGCCCTCCCCCAACATGCTTTGCTAGGCGTTTATCTTCTAGTTTCAACTCACATGCAAACACGGAGCGTCACTCCTGTCCTGTCGACAAGCCCATATCCAACCAAGTGGTCCACCTCAGTTCATCCGCTTCTTTTTGGAGCCTTCGATCCTCCTCCAGATTGGCATGCCTCAATGTACGTACATTACTACGGATCGGTCAACAGGCGGCACTTGCCCAAACATTAGAGACCTTCTCCATCGATATTTGCTGCTTATCCGAGACTCGCCTGCAAGACTCGAGCTCTGTGCTCACTTTGCGATCCCCATCTCATTGCACCTATCCAGTGACGATGCAACTTCGAACACCGGCGAAGCTGGTGTTGGTATTGCCTTCAGTCCCGGAGCTGAAGCTGCTCTGGTTGATTGGATCCCAATCAGTAGCCGGATGTGTGCGATGCGATTGGCAAGCCAGTTCAAAATTTGGAGGTCACGTGGGACTGGTAGGTGTCTATCCGTCACCGCTGCTTACACGTTCACTAACTGACGGAACTCCTTCGTCACAAAAGAAGCACGAACACGTTGTGCTGGCGAGGGATCTAAACGCTCAAGTTGGTGGATTATCCACGGGTGAACTGCATCTGGACGGCCAACATCCTGTTGGGTAGCATGATGATAATGGTAAGCGGTTACTTCATTTGTGTGAAGATGCCTGCTCATTTCTAGCGAGCGCCAACTTCCGACACAGCACCCGCCGGAGGGTGACTGGGCGCCTACCATCATCATCATTATACACGCTAGCTTGAAATGAAAAACACCTCAGCTGCTGTGCCGCAACACATAAAAGAAAAAAGAAAATAAATGCAGCAGTTGCATGCCAATTGAGCTACCAGAAACGGACGGGCATCGTTCCAGAAAGGTAGAAGACGGCTACTAGGCAACACAATAGGAAACTTCAAGCTGGAGAACATATGGGAACTCTTGGAACTCTGCATGGCTACTTATTTTTACTTTAATGGGCAAGGTTGTTGACAACTGAAAGGAACGCCCATGGGATCACCCATCTCATGACTTATTGTGGAAGCCGTGATGGAAAAACGGGAGAGTATCACAATACGGTTAATCAAACGAAAATTATGGATTCGGTACGCCGACGACACGTTTATCATCATCAAACGAGATTTCATACAGAATACCCATGAGTTAATCAAAGACAAATTCTAGGATATCAAGTTTACAATTGAACTCGAAAAAGACAACCAGTTACCATTCTCTGGTGTACGTTTCCAAAGAAACAATGGCGGAACACTTCAAACATGTGTATATCGAAAGAAGACCGAAACACACTGCAGCACGACAGAATTGAGGAAGAAGGAAGAGAACCATCTATACCAGGTATTACAAAACAACGGGTATCCGAGTAAGTTCATCAGAAGAACACTAAAGAAGAAGGTGCAGCAGCAACAGCAGGAAACCCTAGGTAAACGGGTAGTGCTTCCTTACACCAAGAATGTTTCTGAACTAACGTCAAGATTGCTACGACCACATAGCATCTTGGTAACCCATAAACCAACTGGTACTTTGCGAAGATTGCTCTCAAGACCGAAGAACAAAGTCAAACAGGGCAGTCAGAATGATGTCATCTCCAAAATTAACTGCAATGTGACAGACACTACATCTGGCCAACTGGAAAGAGACTTTCAACACGGATCAACGGACACATAATGGCCATACGAAGACACGAGCCGCATTCACTGGTTTCCATACATGAGGACCAAGAAGGCCACCACTTCGACCTAGTGAACGTTAGGATCCTAGCGCGTGAAAGTTCGAGGTATGCATGGTATTCTACAGACAATTCAATAAACCGACACTTTGAAATAGATGCTATATATACAGCGCTACGGATGAATGATCACCAAATTAATAGATTAAGTCTAACGGAATAGAATGCCAGACAATTGCGTCAAACGACGACAACCGAGGAGTCACGCGCGCGTGCGCTAGGAGGCGAGAATCAGAGCTCGATTTCGATGGACATGTGCCCGTCGA